TAAGTATTTAATACTTTTAATTTATTATAAAAAGAAATGTAATTTTCTTCATTTTATATTTGAATTCAAATGAATTATCTCTTAAGTCATTCACTTTAGTTACTTATAAAATTGTGGTAAAATTAATTATTTTATATTAAATAGCCAAGTAAGACAATTTCGCCCACATGCCAAAAAGTTGTTAATGGTTTGTTACATGGGGCAATTCAAATATTTTTGAATGACCTAATCATCTAAATAAAAAATAATACAAATAAATATTTATATCTGTAGAAATTTCCATCTTCTATAAAAAAAAATAACTCTATTCTATAATGTATAATCCCTTTAAAAACAATTTTTACTAATTTTATTTTATCTTTTATAAATAATAATTGTCATATTTTCCATTCCATATATGTCATTTATATGTTTTACTAGGTTCAGTTCCCGGGTCCAAAAAAAATTCCCCTACTGTTAAGTTAAGGAATATTTTAAAGCGTTTTAGGAAAAGCATTAGGGCTTGAGGCTGGAGCTGGACGAAAAGACGGGAGGGTAAGACTCAGGATTTGTTCGACACTCCGCCTTGTCAGCTCGACTCGGACAACTTCCCTCTTAAGTATGGCCTCATCGTAATCCATCACGAAGGCCGGATCATGCCACACTACGACCAGTTCCGGCTAGTTCCCAGCCGTTAATGCAGTACATCTCCTCGCAAGCATTGCCGTTGGCAAAGCACTCCAAGCTAGAAATCCTGGTGGCGACTATAAACGGCAGGGCATGATCCAAGAGTTTCTGCTGACTACATTCCGGGAGTTCACATCGCCATTGCCCAAACTTGCTGGTAGGTTTTCTTTCTTTTGTTGGCTGCTAGTTATCACTTGATGCTTTCAGTCCGGCGAATGAACAAGACAGATGCAAGCTAAGAACCGTTACTAAAACGTATATTGTAGACCTGATCCCATTGTGCAGCTCCGAGTTTGTCATGGGCTATGCCAAAGAGTCTCCGCGAGGAACTGCGGGTGGCGGTGGACTTCAAGAAAACGCCAGCGGAAGGTCTGTAAGAAGCCAAATAGCTCGAAGTTCTTGGCATGAAACATTTGCAAGCTTGCAGTAGCGAGCTGGCTGCTGTTGTGATTAACAACCTGGCTTGGGCACGAAAGGAGCAGTGGCGTCCGGTTTGCATCCAGGTGTGGGGCAGGGTGACATGGTACTACGGGTATGTTGAAATCCACGAGTTTGTTCAAGTGGAAAACGAGGAGCTAGTTGAGGAGAGTTTGGCTTGTAAGTGCAGAACAGAATATTTCGTTTCTAACTCAATCCCCTGCAGGTTTTCCTCTGACGAAGAGAGAAGCTCTTCCTTTGACCGCCCCTGGGAGTGTGCCACCATGTCGGAGAATGATCCAGAAGAAATTTACGGAATGGAGGGCGAATCTTCATTGTTAACAGATGAAGATCCCAGATGGAAGGTATCCGGGCAGGCTTTTCATCCATCCATGGGTATGTTATGTCCGTTTTCATTAAATTTTTATGGTTTTTAGGGCTCAGAATGCCAGGTTTTCGTTTAGACCAAAGACTTCATAAGCTCGCATCTGTTTTACGAGGGGATGCTGAAAACCTTGGTGGGTCGGGAGGTGACCAAGTGGACTCCTCGCGATGTAAAATTTTTTGTTTGTTGCTTTTTTATTTTTTGAATTTTTGGTCAGGTTTACAATGCGTATTATAGGAGAGGGGAGACGGTTCAGTTGGCGAGAAAGATCTGTATTCCAGAGGATCAATGGGAGTTTGTATCAGGGCTCATGCAAGAGTTGAAGAAACAAGAACTGGAAAATAATAGCCACAGCATGAAATAAATGAAGCTCAAGATTCTGAATGAAGCTTGTGATTATATAGTAGCAATTATTTATTTAAATTTGAAAGAGAAGTTTTTCTGTTTTTGGTGTGTTATTTTCTCTTCTTTTTTGGGAGAGTTTGGTCTTTCCTTTGGATTCTCACCTTGGTCATGATTTGCTTGATCTTTCCCTTGTCTCATGAGCCATGCACTGTTGCTACTTCACAGTGTTAACTGTTGCATTGATCAATATATTTTACTCCTCGAGCCTACTGCTTGTCATCGTTTGTGCTCTCCGAGCAAAACAAAGCCTCGATTCCTCTCCATCGCAATCGAATGTAGCTACTGTTTTTTCTACTTGGTTTCTCGCTCCTGTTTGATCTGGCATCTCTTGCAATTGAGCAGTGCTTCTTGCTATAGCATTACTTCTGGCCTTCCAGAAAACCCTCTAGGATTCTTAGACTAGAACTTTGTAGACGATCTTAAACTTAAATAGTGATTTTTCTTTCTTACAGGACTACGTAGAGAAATACCTTTGCGCCGACCCCTACAAGGGTGACAACCAGGGCTCCACAGCTTTGCAAATCCATTGACAGACGGTCACGATTGGGGCTTATGACGAGCATCAAGGACAAAGCTTGCATTGCATAGTCTAGCTCGAAAAAATCCAGAAAAAAGAGGGCGAGAGAGAAAAAAGAAACCATATAAAAATGTAAATACAGCTTGACTATAGAGAAAACACTAGGCTATACAGTCCATGGTTTGGAATATCCCGGGGCTTGGAGTTTGCGTTCCATCCACACTCCAGGAACTAAAGAATGTGGTCATTCATAGCTGGCAAAAAAGATTTTCTCATAGATGGGCAATATGAATTTGCCATCGACGATGTCGAGAGCTTTGGAAATATTTTAACATGTAGCGATGGGATGCCGGAATATCCAGTCTCGTACAGACGCTTTATGGGCCAGCCGTACGTGGGATGGAGAATGGGTGTCATCCCGCCACGTGGAAGGCGCGAAGGGATCGGCCGGCAGGGATTGCGCGGGGGTTTTAAAACGGGTCCAAGGAATTGGGGCATTTTTAAATTTTGGGAAGAAGAGCTCGAGAGCTAGGTATGAGCGGGATCGCCAAGAGAAGGCGCTCGTCTCGCTACGATCACGAGGAGCCAAAATCGGTCCTCGATCTTGGGAACTGCATTTCGCCGCCTCAGCATCATCTCATCCCGGCGGCGCCTCCGCCATCGCAGCAGCAAATCTTTCGGCAGAAGAAGCTCAAGCACGGCGGTACTGCCAGTGGCTCGGACGAGGAATTCGAGGATGTGTTTGCGCCACTCGATCTCACAGGTGATCTAGAGGCATCGCTCCAGCCTTGTTCCTCCTCCTCGCTCCACAGGTCGTCGTCGTCGGGGATGGATTACTCCATCTGGCAGCCCGAGGTGTTGCTATCCACGGCCTCGGACGACGAATTCGAGATGCGGCTCTTGGATCCCGGCCAGAATCACATCCAGCAGCAGCAAAATATCGGCCTGGACGAAGATTGGCAGAACCACTCCGCGACACACGCCTCGGCTCCATCGTCATACAACTCCTCCGACGATACCAAGTTCTTGGAGATGATGTGTAGCAACGACGTCTTCAATCCCGTGCAGCGCGAGGACGTGCTGCAGGACAAGATCGAGCTCAAGGAATCGATATCGGCGCTGGAGAGCGACGGCGCGGTGGGCCTGGAATTCTGGCGAGGGTTACAGCACCAGCAAGAGCAGCAAGAACAGCAAGAACAGCAGCAACAACGCCATGCTCAAGATCAATCGCTCTTCGAACAAGAACAACAGCAGGGATCGCGAGCACAGCCGGCAGCGGCTCAAGATCATCACGAATCGGGCGATGCGAATGTGGGAATCCGGCTGATCCAGCTTCTCCTCGCCTGCGCCGAGGCGGTGGCGTGCCGCGACGTCAACCAAGCCGCCACCCTTCTCAGCCAGCTCCAGCAAATGGCATCGCCGCGCGGCGACTCCATGCAGCGCGTCACGTCGTGCTTCGTCGAGGGCCTTACCGCGCGGCTGGCGGGGCTCCAGAGCATCAGCCTCAGCGGCGCCGCCTACAAGCCAGCAGTGGCACCGCCGGCGGCACGACGCAGCCAGATCCCCGAGGCGTTGCGCGACGAGGGATTCAACCTCGTCTACGAGTTCTGCCCCTACTTCTCCTTCGGCCACTTCGCCGCCAACGCCGCCATCCTCGACGCCTTCGAGGGAGAATCGAGGGTCCACATCGTGGATCTCGGGATGAGCAGTGCGCTGCAGTGGCCGGCGCTGCTCCAGGGGCTGGCATCGCGCCCCGGCGGGCCGCCCGAGTCGATCCGGATCACGGGCGTGAGCTGCGATCGCAGCGACAAGCTCTTCCTGGCGGGCGAGGAGCTCTCGCGCCTGGCCGAGAGCCTGGAGCTCCAATTCGAGTTCCGGGCCGTGACCCAAGCTGTGGAGAGCCTCCAGCGGGGGATGCTCGACGTCCGCGACGGCGAGGCCATGGCGATCAACAGCGCGTTCCAGCTCCACTGCGTCGTCAAGGAGAGCCGGCGATCGCTCAAGTCGGTGCTGCAATCCATCCACGAGCTGAGCCCCAAGATCCTGACGCTGGTGGAGCAGGACGCCTGCCACAACGGCCCCTTCTTTCTGGGGCGATTCATCGAGGCGCTCCACTACTACTCGGCGATCTTCGACGCGGTGGACGCGATCCTGCCCAGCGACAGCGAGGAGCGGCTCAAGATCGAGCAGTACCACTACGCGGAGGAGATCAAGAACATCGTGGCGTGCGAGGGGCCGGACCGGGTGGAGCGCCACGAGCGGGCGGACCAGTGGCGGCGGAGGATGAGCCGCGCGGGGTTCCAGCCCAAGCCACTCAAGTTCTTGGGCGAGGTCAAGACGTGGCTGGGCATGTACTATCCATCCGAGGGCTACACGCTGGTGGAGGAGAAGGGCTGCATTGTTCTTGGCTGGAAGGGCAAGCCCATCGTCGCGGCTTCCACCTGGAGGTGTTGATCGATCCAATCCCGATTGATCGATTTTTTGGTGGTATTTTGATTCGTGTGCATATTCTTTGGAATAATCTCTTGCCCTAATAGTATATTCTTCTGGAATAATCAGCCACGGTATATGCTCTCAGAATGACCTCTCCGTACTTGGGTGCTCAACTCATTCCGTACTATCATTTTTCATTCGAAGCTACATTGTTACAACCTTTCGATCCAAAAAAACTGCTCACCAAATCACCGTCGAAAGAAGCAAAAAGCAAAAAGCAAAGAATTCTCTCTTGCTCGCTCTCTCGAGAGGGAGGTGGTCAATCAATCAATCAATCAATCAAGCAAGCAAGCAAATTATTTTCCCAGCACGAGCAAAGGAAAAAAGCCAAACCATTCTATATATCAAGGCCGGAGCCTCCTCTTGCTCGAAGAAGAAGAAGACGAAGAAGATGATCCTCCACCATAGTAGAGCTGGTACCACTTGACAAACTTCTTGAGCCCCGTTTGCAAATCCGTGGTGGGATTGTAGCCCAGCTCCACCCTCGCCAGCGTCACGTTTGCGTGGGTGAAAGGCACGTCCCCGTTGCGCGGCATCCTCACCACATTCCTCTTGGCCTTCACCTTGAGATGCTTCTCCAGAATCGCCACCAAGGTCGGCACCGTCACGGGCGAAGTGTTCCCGAGGTTGTACACCCGGAGCTGCGCCGGTCCCCGCTTCTTCCCCCCAGTCCCTGTGCTCGGAGTCGCCGTGTCCAGCGCTCCAAAGCAGCCCTTCACGATATCGTCGATGTAAGTGAAGTCGCGAGCTAGATCCACTTGGTTCGGCCCCTGGTAGATGTTCACTGGCTTCCCTTGCAGGATCGCCTTGGTGAAGAAGAAGTAAGCCATGTCCGGCCGCCCCCAAGGCCCGTAGACCGTGAAGAACCGCAAGCCCGTGATGGAGAGTCCGTAGATGTGGTTGTAAGTGTGAGCGATCTCCTCGCCGGCCTTCTTGGTCGCCGCGTACAAGCTCGCCGGCTGGTCGGTTCGATCGATCTCCGAGAAGGGGACCTTGGAGTTGAGGCCGTAGACGGAGCTGGACGAGGCCCAGACGATCGCCGGTTGCGGGCTCGCCTCCTTGCAAGCCTCCAGGAGGTTGACGAAGCCGGCGATGTTGCTGTGGACGTAAGAGCCCGGGTTCTCCATCGCGTATCTCACCCCGGCCTGCGCCGCCAGGTGCATGACGTGCGTGAAAGTGATCACGTCGAAGAGCTTGCGCAGCAGCGCGATGTTGTTGATGTCGCCCTCGACGACGAACACCCCCTGCTTCTCCAGGAGCCCCTGCCGCGCGCGCTTGAGGAACGGATCGTAGTAGCTGTTGAAGTTGTCCAGGCCAATCACTCCGTCACCCCGCTTCTTGAGAGCCAGGGAGACGTGAGTCCCAACAAATCCGGCGGCGCCGGTGACGAGCACGACCAGGCCGTTCTCTCGCTTGGCGTGCGCCGAGTGGCGGACGTGCTTCTCCCACACGGATCCCCCCCAGCTCACCACGTCGTTCTTCGCCTCCCGCAAGCTCAAGCTCTGCTCGAAGCTGTTGTGGACGCCGGGGGACGTCGCGTAGAAGAAGACCGCCACCACGAGCAAAGCTAGCAGCGCGACGCACCAGAAGACGATCTTCCCCGGGCCGAACGACTGCCACCGGCTTGCAACTCTGCCGAAGTAGTTGCTCCTCTCCATCTTCACTTTGCCTGGCGTGGAAGGGAAGGAGCAGTCGTGCACGGCCGAGGGAGGCATGGCGGCGGCGGCCTTGAAGAAGCGGCTGGCTCGCCCGGGACTTTGCTGCTTGAGGAGGAGGTTGCAGTAAGTGCAATTCCCTGGACCCTGTGTCTCTCCCTGTTTTGGAGCACGAAGCAAAGTGTAAGAGAAATACATCGCAAAAATCTCTATGCCTCTCTTCTCGCAATCTACACTTCATCACAAAAACCTCTACTTCTTGTCTCTTTCTCACACCTCACCAAAAACTCTAAGCCTCTCTTTTCTCTCTCTCGCAATCTACATGTCTATCTCCTGGATCACTTCTATCTCCCTGGTTGTGAAGCTACCGTCTTTCTCTCCGATCTAGCTCTCCTTTCTCATCTGGCAATCTTTTCTCTCATCTCTCGCAAGAACAACTCTCGAGCTCGATCTAGCTACGCGCTTACCGTGCTGTAGAGAGGAAGACGCATTGTTTTGTGGCTATGACGCGGAGAAGAGAGACGCCACGCCTTGCTGGGATGTGGAGCAGAGGAGCAGCATCATCGCCTCGTCCCGGCGCGAGCAGCCAGATCTGGAGCTGGAGAGCACCCAAAGGCGAGCGGTTTCAGGGACTCACTGCCGCATGCCCGAATTCGCGTCCCCAAACCCTCGCCCTGGGCGATTTGGATGAAAGACTCACCGGTGGCCGCGCAGATCTGGCCGCGCGGTCTCTGCATTCGCGGTCACGGAAGCGACTGGCGCGTCCCACGATCCACAGCTGCGTCGATGGATTGATCGATTGCCTCCTAGAAAATTAAAAAAACAAAGAAAAGATGCCCTAAAACCAGATAAAATAGCTTTAGCGTCCAAATGAGTAAATGTGAGGTGCGTCAAACCTGACCTTCTTGTAGAACGGTAATGTATTCACGGGCTTTGGAATCCAGCACCCAAATTGAATGGAAAGCCCTGGCCCTCTGCATTCTCTTTCCCTAGCATCATGATTTCTTTATCACGATTTATCACGTATATAATATGCTCGGGAATAATCTCCGGCTCAAATGAAGCGGGAGAGTTGAAGGTTTACGGCAGACGCCTTTCAGCGCCAGGTGCCATGGCTTTGTCTGGATCAGTCAATGCTTGGCGCTTTCACAGCTTTGGGCCGATAATCTGGGGAATGCAGGTTGATTACCACAGGAAATCATGAACATCTGGGATGGAGCGTGGATTCGCAATGTTAGAGCTATGCTTGCCACTGCTCCAGCCCGGGTGTGTTGCCACGGCACTAGGTCTTCACAGGAGGTAAGCACCAAAATATTAACAAATCACTGCTTGCCAGGGTTTTTCAGAGGGATCCAGGAGCCCTCATAAAGAAGCTTATGGAAAAATTATGGAAGAAAGCGGTGCTATCACTCTGGAGCACAAGCCTCTTGCTTGTGGCTCTTCCTCAGCCTTTGAGGTTTGAAACTTTTCTTTGTACCTGTTCTAAAGGATGCCACGAATCTCATCAGCAATCTATTACCAAGAGCAACAGATCATCCAAGAGCGCAGGTAATCAATCGTGTGAGACAAAACTGGCCTAAGACAATGCTGCATGGACACATGTCATGGACAGATGTGCATTTGCGGACAATGAGAAGTAAGATCATCGCTCTATTCCTCACTGCTCAATGTATTTCTTCTTTCTTTTTTATAAATGTGTTGCTAAGTCATTTCTACAGAGCCATGATAGAAGTCTAAGTTCTTGTCAATTTTGCCTCTCCTAGGGTGGTCACTTTACAATTTATCCAGATGCATATGCTTGCACGGATAGGGTTAAGAAACTGACTTAGAAATATGGCTTTGATAAGTTTTTTAGATCAAGAGGGAAAATAAAGGATAAGGACAAGATATCATTATGACATGGTCAACTATAAAACTTTTATTTAAGATTGATTTTATTTTCTTGCTTTAACCTGATTAGTTTTTAGAAGTGTTGTTTATTTAAAATTAATTTATTCCTACTTTTGAAGTGATTGATTTTTCCAGTGCTTCCTTGAAGCCTATCTAGAATATACTTGAATATTTTAAAATATTCTTATGTTATTCATTTAGATTAGGGTTTTGCATACTTTGACCAAATCACCCAACCAAATCTGAGCTACTTCAAAAGTATAAGAAAAGTAAACTATGCTTAAGAATATTTTAAAAGATTAGTTACTAGAGCCATTGCACCTTGATTAGAAGTAGCAATACTAATCTATGCCATAAATTTAATTTTAATGGCCACATAAGCATGGGATCACTGCAGATTGTTGTTGTCTTGCTCTTTGTTCAAGATAGCCACCATGAATTGCAATATGGATGTTGTGCATTCCTTGGATTGCCCGCAACACTGTAAGGGAAAGAAAGGCACAGGCAATGCTAGAAGTGTATGAGCCAAAGCTGCAATAGTAGTATGTTCAAATCTATAGCTTTCTCCAAACCTAGAGCGAAAGAGAAAAAGTGCTCCACATCTTTTGCTATATCTTCTCCCAAGGATGAATCTTGCCAAAGCTACTAGATCTCTCCTCCTTGGCAATGAAATAGAGAAAAAAGTTCCCCTTTCCCAAGGATGGGCACAAAGGAAGGATAACCATTACCTTACCTTTACTCACACATCAACATTTTGAAAGCATAGCAAACACCAAACTCATGACAATAGTGATTGAGCTTTTCATCAAGAATGGCCATCTAGAAGAAGCATATCCTGGCCAGAAAGATCAACAAGTTGCAAAAGGTGTTCAACAACACCACCAACATGGAGTGTACATTGACCAAAGCTCGCTCCACCCTGGTGGTGAGGATTTGGTTTGCAAGTGTGGCAAATATTGGATGATTGTCCGGCATTGGAGGAATGTAAACATGATAGTTAGGATTAATTGCCACTCAATCCAGGCCTTTGGTACAACAAGACTTAATCATAGATGGGTCTTATGATTAAGTCTTGTTGTACCAAGGGATGTTAGGAACCTGGAGGCTTGGTGTGCTTAGTTTCTCGTGCCTATGGGGAGTATAGCTGAACCTTAAGTCCAATCTAACCTAGGGAGGGGGATTGGGAGAGATTTGAGAATTCGTGAATGGATAGCTAACACTCCATTGCTTGTGTAGTGAGTTGCTGAAATTAAATAGGACTAAGTAGGAGCTGGTACGATAGGTGGGAACCTTGGCAAGAGAACTTTGTAAGTGACTAATTTTTCCATTTTACTTTAGTCACTTAACTACACCTTTGTCCACTTGGAAGAGTCTCATTCACAACCTCCTTAAGTCCAATTTAGGACTTGGGACTTGCTAGTCCCGAGAATGGCATCCATGCCACTCATCCCCTGCACTTAGTCCAAGTGCTCCACGTGTCTAGTCCCAAGACCGACACCCAAAGGTACCACAGACATATCGGCCCGTTACGCTAAAGCCATGCCCATTCACCTTTGCCGCACTAGTGGTCCAATACCACTTGTATCACAATCCCGTCTCTCCAAGACTGGGCCATCCATCCACAAGTGGTCTTCCTAGATCCACTCCTTAGCATCCTTAGGATGCCCACAAACATGGGGAATAGCCATCCCCAATATCCCTTTGTTAGTTCCTGCCAAGTCCCTTTTCCGTCCATGGCCATGTTCACCAGCACTACTACCAGATCAAGGCCCACAGGCCCAGCCACTAAGTCCCATTGTCCTCTAGGACTTCCTCACCATGTGACCGTATCCGTAATCACTACACTAGAGGACTGCTCCTCCTCCTTTCCCCCATTTGGGACTTCAGGACAACATTTCGGAACACCGTGGCCCTATGCGAGCCCCGTGGGTACTCTCCCCACCTTCCGCCTTTAGGTGCTTTAGCCATGTGCTTAGAGCGAGGTTCCGTTGAGCCACACCTGGTATCCAAGTAGGTAGTGCCACCCACACTTGGATTGGGAGCATCGGCCAATCGATCTCCCGGGGGAACTAGAGCCGGCTCTTGAACACTTCACCAAGCTACCCCGCTTGTCGGTTCGTATTCACTCTAGTCTTGGACTTCCCAGTGGTTAGTTCATCACCCAACACTAGGTCTGGCCTTCCTGGGCCAAACTGGCTCCACTACAGTCCTCCCCCTTACTATACTTTTGGAGCTCACTAAACCCCCTAGGGTCTGGGAGACGAACGCTTTGGGCTTTCACCCTCTCAGGCTCGAACTCGAACTCGGACTCGGACTCAGACTTGGACTCGGACTCGGACTCGGGCTCGGGCTTGGTCTCGGCCTTGGCCTTAGTCTCGGTCTCGATCCCGGTCCCGGTCTCGGTCTCGGTCTTGGTCCCGGTCTTGGTCTCGACCTCAGACTCCATCTCAAGTCCTTCTCGGACTCCATCTCAGGTCCTTCTCGGACTCCATCTTGGATTCCATCTCAGGTCCATCTCAGACTCCATCTCGGACTCCGTCTCGGTCCATCTCGGACTCCATCTCGGGTCCATCTTGGACTCCATCTCGGACTCCACCTCGGACTCCATCTCGGACTCCATCTCGGTCCATCTCGGTCTCCATCTCAAGTCCATCTCGGACTCCATTTCGGACTCCACCTTGGACTCTATCTCGGACTCCATCTCGGTCCTTTTGGGTCCCTTTTTGGAGCCTCACTTATTGCTCGCTTCGTGCTTGTTCCTCAAGCATTTTGTTGGGAGTTCCACTCCCGCTCTCGACCTTTCAAGTCGGAGCTTTTAGTCCAAACGTGTTACGCTCGTTTGGCTTTTGCTTCGGCCACTACCATGTGGCGCCCTTCCGGCTCCACTTTGGGGCTTAGGGATTTTGTGTCTCACAACTCCACCACCCATAGACGAATTTTGATGTCCTCATCGAACGGTAAACCCTTTTATAAACTAACACCCGCAAGTATTACCATTTCCATCCTTGGCACCCAACCAATATTTTTCTATGGTTTGACCCCGAAGGCTCACTTTGCCTTGTTCATCCTCTAAGGAGTATAGTCTCTCCAACCTAGAGACTCACTTGACCACCTAGGGTGGTTTGCTCCCTTTTATTGGTTCAGTTCCCGCTAAACTGGTTAGAGACACCTTCTCTAACTCAATTCCACTACTTATTCTTCTCAGATTCCATGGACATAACCTTTGCACTTGGAACTTTTAATTTTGACTTTTCACAGTCAATTTCCTAGGTGTCTCCGACACCTTACGTTGCACATAGTGCAACTCCACTTCCTTATCCTAGGAAGTTCTTTACTTGAGGGCACCATCATCCTCTTTTCTATTTTGTGCCACCCTTGGCACTACGTTCCAATTATCATCATTTGTGCCTGGGCTGTCCACGACCCTATCCTTTGGCTACTTTGCCACTCCTCACTTGGAGCTTTTACTTGCCAAATTGGAGCACTTGGGAATCTATCCTTGGAAGTCCACTTCCTTTCCCGCAATCCGTTAGCATCAAACACATAAGTGTTCCTTAGCTAACCTTGCCATTTGGATTCCTCCCATTAAATTCCATGGCCTAAACTTGGCCATTAGTCTTTTGCTCCTATCCATTGATTGTTACATCAAGCAACATAGGATCACTACCTCCCTCCTTGAGGTATTCTTTTGGTTCCATGGCAAAACTCCACTTCGCCAAGTCCAGAGGGTGCTCACCCCTAGTAGGTCTCTTTAGCAACTTTTGCTATAGGCCCCTTCCATGGCCCAACATTGTGACCCTCTCATGGGTCTCTCCTCGAGACTACTTTCTTAGACCTACTATACCATCGTATTGGCACAATTGATTTCCCTTTAGGTGTCCTTCCCACTTGGTCACCTCGACCAAGCCACACCATTATCAGTAGTTCAAATCAACACTTTGAACGGGGAATCATATTCCTT